CCCGCAGTACCACTCAGATTCTCAGAACTTCACAGCAAATCCACTGAGTCACTTTCCTCCTTTTCCCGGCACTGCTGCCCCTCGAAGCATCCCTCCGATTCCATGAAGCTGATCCTGTGGGAGAACTACCCATTCAAGTGATTCAGGCCGCCTTCTTCACCTCCCACTCCAAGAGCAGAGAGCCAGGAGGTCATCCCTAATCTGCCATTTTTGACAATCTCCCCTCCCCTATTTTAAAGGCCCAAATCATTGGGAAGGGGTGCCGACTCATCTAGCTGCTTCATGTTGAGTAAAGGGTGATGATTTCTTATTTGGGTGGCCTCTTATAGGTTTTCCAGAGATCTCTCCAGGGGACTTCAATATATGGTCTCAGTAGGTTGTTGAGGTTGTAGGTGAGGAGGTAGGTGCCAGGGCTGGCAGAAAATGTAAGACCATTTGCCACTTCATGGCTTCTAGACAGGATGAAATAAATGTAGTGAGAAAATTTATGAGGAACTTTCCCACTATAAGAATTCCCAGAATGTAGAGTAATAGTGTGACCAGGGGAATTATTAAGGACATCCACCAGGATCTAAGAGGTCTCTCCTCATGTCTGGAGATTGGCAGTAGACTCTAGGATGGCATCGGTGTTATCCCGAACCTATCCAGGGCAAACCAATGTCCCAAACTACCGCAGGGATATTTGTGGTATCTCTGTTGATCTTGTTCCAAGACCTCTGATTCTGTTAAGAGGCTGATGATGGGTTCCTCCTGAGGGTAGAAGGAAACCTATGCTCTCAGTTTAGAAAGTAAGTCCGTCCTAGCAGGTTGATGGGACAAGTGGGAATTACCATAAACAAACTTTCAATGGTCACATCCTCCTACAAGCAAAGTAAAGAATTGTTTGGTAGGGACCCCAGAAACTCCAGCAACCACACAGGAGTGAGTGCTCAGTTTTCCATAGTAGGCGAGGAGGATAAAGTAGGCAGCCCAGTATCAAGAAGGAAACTTACTGGCCTATCTGCCACCAGGAAGGTTACCCTTGGCTGCAGTCCAATGATTGTTATCTGCCAGGGAGCTGACAGGAGTGGGCCACTTTATTGTCATGTCATGATCCCGTCTGAGGACTGACTCTTCTCCTGGGATAATCCCATAGGACAGGGTGCAGTCCAGTGACCTGTTTGATGGCACTGATAAGGGGCCTTCGGTGGTTGTCCTTATTGGGGCAGTTCTTGGCCCCAATGCCCTTCCTGTCATCAGATGCTGCACTGGAGTTCCCTTCCTTTGGTGTAGGCTTTGGCTGTTGGTCCACATGTGGGCGCTAATGCTGCCACTAACTGGGCATGCCTAGCCTCCTACCCCACTCCTTCTCTGGAGCCTGAGACTCAAGCTCATAAGCTCTGTTACAGATAACAGAATTAGCAGCAGCCACCATATCATCCAGGGAGGTGGTAGGGTCCTGGACAAGCTTCTGAAGCTTTTTCCTAATATCTGGTGCTGCTTGGGCCAAGAATTTGTCTTTTAATATCACCTGCCCCTCATAGGAATTCACACGGGGAGTAGTGTGTTTCTTTATTGCCTCCTGGAGCTGATGGAGGAAGGCTACGGGGTTTTCCTCAGGCCCCTGGGCTATGGCCGCGACTTTGGAATAGCTGACCGCCTTTTGCCTGGCGATCTTGAGGTCAGCCTGAATGCATACTAGAAAATGTTCTCTCTCCCACTTCTCTTCTGAGGAACTATTACACTCCAATTCCCGCAGTACCACTCAGATTCTCAGAACTTCACAGCAAATCCACTGAGTCACTTTCCTCCTTTTCCCGGCACTGCTGCCCCTCGAAGTGTCCCTGCAATTCCATGAAGCGGATCCTGTGGGAGAACTACCCATTCAAGTGATTCAGGCTGCCTTCTTCATCTCCCACTCCAAGAGCAGAGAGCCAGGAGGTCATCCCTAATCTGCCATTTTTCACAATCTCCCCCCCCCCATTTTAAAGGCTCAAATCATTGGGAAGGGGTGAGTCAGTCATGGGCACTGCTGTTAGACCCGGAATCCCTCACTATCTACCTAGCACTCATAGTTTCATTTTATTCTTTTTGTTGTTCTTTTTTACTGTTTTTCTAGTCTTTTATTTATTTCAGGTCTGATTTTAATTATATCCTTCTTTCTTTCTCTTGTTCTTTTCTATTGTTTTTTTAGTCTATTTTGTTTATTTTGGGTCTGATCTTTATTATGTCCTGCCTTCTACTAACTTTGGTCTTAGTTTATTCTTCTAGTACCTTGAGGTTGTTTATTTGGGATCTTTCTTATTTTTTGATATAGGCATTTAATACTATAAACTTTCCTCTTAGAATTGGTTTTGCTATGTCCCATAATTTTTGATACATTGTGTTTTATTTTTGTCTCAAGATATTCTAAATTTTTCATTTTCATTTCTTCTTTGGCCCATTGGTTGCCCAGAAGAGTGTTGTTTAATGTCTACATATTTATGAATTTTATAAAATTCCTCATTATTGATTTCTAGTTTTATACCATTGTGGTTAGAGAAGATACTTGATATTATTTCAATCTTGAATTTGTTAAGAACTATATTATGGTCTACCAGAATCGCCACAAATATTTCTTCCCCATTTTATTTTTAAAAGCATATTCTGCATCTAGAAATTTCCAGTGGATAGATTGTGAATGAGGTAGGGGAATTAAGATTTATTTTTTCTAATGTAATTTTCAGTGTACTCTTCAGACTCATTCATTCTTTGTCTCTGGCATCAGGAATTTTGGGACTGCTTGTCCATTATGGTTGAATTTCTTGGTCCTGTAAATCAGCCTGGGATAACACTCCCTAACCCCCATGTATCACTGGAATTTCCTGCCTGTTTCCTAGTGCCACCTAACTCCTCCATCTTGCTCTTCAGTTTAATGCTTCCTGAAATCTGGAAGGGAGATTTGTCTGAGTTGGTGGTAATAAAGACCAGAGTGGAACTTGGACATTCTGACCCCTGGTACAGCACATATTTTCCTAGAGCATCAGATAAAGAAGAGAAGATTATGAGGAAAGAGAGAGGTAGTGAGCAAGGTCTAAATTGAAAAGGCAAAAACTGGACACTTAAATTTGAATTCTTTAATCAATAGTTAATTTGTAAGCCTTTGTGATTGAGACTAAATTTTTTTGTATTTAGAAAAAATATTTGGGAAAATTTTAATGTTTTAAAAATATTAGAAAAATGATTAGGAAAATCATGATGGCAAATAACTTGGATAACAGAACAGAATTCAAGTCAAAACTGTCATTTATGTTTTGTCTGTCCCATTAACCCCTTTAAGCCTGTTAAACCGTCTTTACAAGAAAGGTAACAAATGCACCTAGACATACACAGATTACACACACAGATGATAGGAGTATGAAATTCTATTTAGACAGAGTTGGGGCTTTTATAAAAAGAAATTCTACACATTTTAAACAAATGGAATTAATGGAAAATTTTAGTTCACATTTTTATCTCCCAGAGAAGTGGGGGAGATAGGAAAATGAATTTTATCAAACAGGGAGACCACAGGCTCATTCCTGTAGACATAGGTCACCATTGCTGATGTTCCCGGGAAATCTGGGGCTAAATTCAGGACATATCAGTCAGTATAAGAGGATTGGATGAGCCCCAATATCATAGTAAATTGATGCTGTCTATATTCCTTATTTCTGTAAGTAATAGTAGATGTGTGGTTATATATGTTTGCTGAAGATTTATTCCCATGTATTTCTTGGAGTAGATTGAGCTAAAAAAAGTTAATTAATACTTGTATCAATATCGGGCTGTAAGTGGAACAGAATGAGGTTGTGCTATACAAAAACCATGTATAGAATTAGGAAAAAATAACACAGAGATAAGAAATTCTTTTATAGTTTGTCATTTTGCACTCAGTTGTCTTTTAGTTCTTTGAGATAGATGCGACTCTTTTGATCATGTCTTTGAAAGCTTGTATCACTTGCTTGTTCCTCAGAGTGTAAATGAAGGGATTCATGACTGGGGCAACTGAGGTGGTGAGCACTGACACCACCTTGTTAATAGCGACCCCTTCTTTTGCAGATGGTTTAATATAGATGAAGATGCAGCTTCCATATGTGATAGAAACCACAATTATATGGGAAGAACAAGTGGAAAAAGCCTTTTTCCTTTGCTGGGCAGAAGGGAATCTGAGAATGGTCCTGATGATGTACGTGTAGGACAAAATCACACACACTAACGTGAACAGGAGTGTCAACACAGCCAAGATTAGGACAAAACGCTCTATAAACTCTGTGTCAGAGCAGGTAATTTTCAGGATGGGGGCAGCATCACAGCCAAAGTGATCTATGACATTGGAGTCACAAAACTCGAGCTCAAAGCCCATGCCAAATGGTGGGATGACGATGATTAGAGCAATTATGTAGCAGCCAATAAGGAACTTGATGCAGACTCTGTTGTTCATGATGGTCATGTAATGCAGGGGCTTGCAGATGGCTACATAACGGTCATAGGACATGGCTGTCAGGAGAAAAAACTCAGTCACACCCAGGACAATAACAAAAAATAATTGAGTGGCACATGCATTATAGGTAACAGTATTGTCTCCAGATGCCATTGTGTAGAGGAATCTGGGAATGCAGACAGTTGTAAATGAGACTTCCAAGATGGAGAAATTCCGGAGGAAAAAGTACATGGGTGTTTTAAGGTGAGAATCCACCAAGGTGAGAGTAATAATAGTCAGATTCCCAACAACACTCAACAAGTAGGTTAGAAACAAAAAGATAAAAAGCAGAATCTGTAGATTTGGGTCATCTGTTAGTCCCACCAGGATGAATGTTGTTATTGCTGTATAATTTTTCATCACTGAATCCTGACTATGGCCTGCTCTGTGTGTAAACATAAGAGACATGAACAGAAACTTTCCAAAAGAAGATAGACTAATGGCCAACAAACATGAAAAAATATTCAACATCTCTAATTGTCAAGGAAATGCAAGTCAAAACCAAATGAGATATCACTCAACTCCAGTAAGAATGGCTTTTATCAAAAAGTCCCAAAACAACAAATGTTAGCATATATGCAGAGAGATAGGAACACTCATACACTGCTGGTGGGACTGCAAACTGGTACAACCTCTGTGGAAAGTAGTATATACATACCTCAAACAACTAAAAGTAGAACTACTGTTTGATCCGGAAATTCCACTCCTGGGAATTTACCCAGAGGAAAAAAAGGCAGTCTATAAAAAAGCACCTGCACTTGAATGTTTATAGCATCACAATTCACAATTGCAAAGATGTGGAAGCAACCCAAGTGCTCATCAATACATGAGTGGATTAATAAAATGTGGTATATGTACACCATGGAGTACTACTCAGCCATACAAAAAGATGAATTTTTTGTAGAAAAATTCAAGGTCTTTGTCCTTTTGCAACAATCTGGATGGAACTAGAGACCATTATTCTAAGGGAAGTATCACAAGAAGAGAAAAACAAACACCCCATGTACTCTCCATTAAATTGGAACTATTAGATCAATACTTATGTGTACATATGGAAATGACATTCATTGGAAATCAAGCAGCTGGGAAGGGGAAGGAGAGGATGGGTAAATTCATACCTAATGGGTACAATGCACACTATCTAGGGGATGGGCACACCTACGACTTTAACACAAATGGTACAAAAGCAATTTATGTAACCCCCCCTAATATTCTGAAATAATAAAATAAAATAAAATGATATATTTTAAAATAAAATAAAATACATTTTATGAAAAAAATTAGATCAGAGAAAGGGACTGTCAGCGTGAATTAGCAGTGGGGCGAGGTGAAAATGTTAGCTAAGCCAAGATTTTATTTTATTTGTTAACCTCTTAATCAAGAATGCTATTGGAGTGGTAGTTAACCAATAATGCTACTGGAATAGCACTGTTGAGCATTATACCAGAGACTAGCCAGAGGCTCTTATTAAAGATTCTTTTTACTATATTGATAATAGTATTAATCTGATGCTAAAGTTATTCTTTGTTTAACAGCTCCTTGGAAATAAAGCTATTTTATATTACCTGTGTTAATGAATAGAAAAACCCTATCATAAAATATGCATGGTTTGTAATCATGCATATTTTAGAAACAATACCTCTAATGTGCTCATCATCTTGGATTCATGCAAGGTAAGCAGGGCTGATTGTAGTTAAGGTGGCAAAGTTAAAATTCTTCTGCTCTCAGCCTCTGTTTTCTTGTTTGCTATGATAATCCACATTGTCCTTCTGATTTCTTCCCTTTCTGAACTGCACTGAAACACTCACAAAACCATTCTAAAGAGAAAACTCCAGTGATCTTCTAAAATCATACATGAGACCCATTACTCTGTTTAAAGCATTCAGTGGAGTTTCATTTTCTTTGGAATAAAATTCAAACTCCTTTGATTTATAAGGACTTTCATGATCATATCACTAGCACTCTTAATTCATCCCTTGCTTGTCCAGCTGTACCAGTCTTCTTCAGTGCCCTGAAGGTAACAAGTTCTTTTCCACTTTAGGACTTCTACAATGTTTTCTCTGTCCCTGAAATGCTCTGCTTGCATTCTTGCATAGATGGACCTTATTTTTCATGTTGCAGCTTAAATATGAACCCGTCAAAGATATCTTCCTGCAGATTCTTATTTAACTATGTTCTCTCTAACCCCAATGTTATAAAAACACTTCTCTGTTTATTTCTTTTTGGATACTTATTATAATTTGTCATTACATATTCATTTACTTTTTACCTCCACCACCTACTTTCTAGAAAGCTCCATGAGAACACAAACCCTATCTATTTTGTAAACCACTGTAGATACAGGACACTAGCTCTTTGCCTTGCAGATAACAGATACTCAATAAATTGTTACTGAATGAATGAGACCAGATATTTTTTTCTTTGACAGTTATTGACTGATTACATTTAAAGTGTAACTGAAAGATTGTGTTGTCAGTTCATTTACATTTTCAGCTTTAAATCCCCAACAAAGAACCTCAGTGTATTGAGGCAATTTTAGAAATTAGAAGGACAAATGGTCACTTTGAATCATAATCCTCCAAATGATGCTAGGTTATTTCATCTGTATGTAAGAATAAATTAAAAATAATCTTTTAAAAAGCTAATGGGGCTTAAGAGTGGGATGATGGAAGGAGGACTGTAGGTGGAAGAGGGTGGCCTAAAAGTGAGGATTTCTTTTCTGTTCATTTCTTTATCCCATTTTCTTTGAAAGAGTTTGGCTGAGGCTACTGAGTCCTGGTTCTTAAATCTCCTTGGAGTGAGCCCATCTGGGTTAATTTCATAGGTATAAATTCAGAGTGTGGACTTTGGAATAAGATAGATCAGGGCTTGAAACCTAGTTCAACCATTTAACCACTTTGGTACCAGCGTCGACTATAGTCGATAGCCACAGATGAATGTGCACAGTGACTTTAGCCGACAGTTGTGATATGACTTTTCTAATTTTTCATTTATCAAAATAAAATTGTGAACATTTAAAAATACTGTAATGAAAACATATATGTATATGTTACCTATTCTGATTTACATTGCAAGTAAAGCTGCCTGTAAAGTAAAACAAGCTTTCAGTGCTTTAAAGCTTTCCTCATCACACAAGAGCAAAATGGATTTGTCGTCAATGCACAGCACAAACTATCATGCGGACTATGAGTGCCGGCTGTGGGCAAGGTTTCCCGGCTGGTGAGTGCCATACCGAAGTGGTTAATGGCTGTGAAACCTTGAGAAGTTCTGTAATGGGCTCCATTTCCTAGTCTGTGAAGTGCAGATAATAACTGTGTGTTCTGTGAAATGCAAATAATGAGTGTATGCTCTTCATGAGCTATCATGAGCACTAAACAAGCTAATTCTTTTAGGCTCTTAGCATCATGCTTGGTAAAGAACAAACATCAAATAAATTTTATTTAGCTTTTCTAATTCTTCCAGGACTTGCTGCCCCTTACTGCATGAACAGAGTTTGCACACTCTCCCACACTTTCTTTTACCTTATCATTTGCCCTCTTTACTATATTACACACATATATTTTAAGTTTTCTGCTATCTTTAAAATGAAATGCAAAATTATAGAGTCCTTTTATATTCTGAAAAAGTAGTATTTGTTGGTACATCTGTTAATCACACATATAACTCAATTACATACAACAGTAATTCATTCTTTTTGAATTTCTTTTATATTTGTAATCTACACTGCACTTTCTTTTTTTTTTTATTTAGTTTTTTTTTCTTGGACCCATTTATCTAGCTGATACACTGCACTTTCTGATGTGATTCTTTGCTCAAAACTCTTAATTCAAACATTGTTCTTTGGGACGTTCACTTCCCATCCCCTCAGTAACCACACAGCTCTCAAATCCTCTTCTGAGCTTGTGTTAGGGCCCTCTTATTTCATCACCTTGAGAATACTTTCCTTTAGTTCTCACTAAGTTGCCAGAAATCTCTTTCATGCTCTGTTCATGCTGCCTTGTCTCTTTATCTTTGAACTATTATACAGAAACAAGAAAAAAAACCTTAGCCAAATGAGTGCCAGATTACAATAAACAAGGTGATTAAGGACTTAAGAGAGCTACATAAATTGAGAGATATAAAGGTCTTTAAAGATTATTTTAGCCAATCCCCCAGTTGGCTTAAAGATGAAAGCCAGAGGGTCAACAAGCCCCAGGTTTGGCAGGCACAAAGTCGAAGGACGAATCCAACTTCTTCAAATCCTAAATCCGTGCTTTTCCCCCCTATTATATCAAGTTAGGAAAAAATTTCAGGAATTTTTTTCTTGTTTTTCCAGTTTCCACTCACCCATTAGGATGTTTGCTACTTCTAATATGCTTTGTCTTCCAAGGATACCTCGTTCATTCCAGTTCTTTCCTTAGTAACTATATTACTTCTGGGAAAACTTAGCATTAGTACTGTAGGAGATCTGGAAAATAAATTCACTTAATGTCTTAGAAGCTAATAATCATATTTATGCTACCTAACCAAGGCATATTTATGTTGTAAATTTAAGAATACATTTCGAATGAGGAATTTCATGTAATAATAATAGGTTTTTATGGCAGATACCAGGGCAAAGACTATCTTTTTGCTGTATTCAACTTAATTCACAAACTTCTCCAAGAACTGGTAATGATGGTAACATTTAAAAGGCAGTTACTAAATGTCAAATGTGCTATGTCAAGCATTTAGATTTCCTCTTTCAATTTTCAAAGCAACTTTCTGAGACTGGTTGTGACTTAATTCTTTTTTTACAAATGAGGAAACCAAGGTTCAGAAATACTAAGAATCTTGCCCAAGGTCATCAATGTAAAATGTGAACCAAGGTCATCAAAGCAGAGATAAGAATCCAAACAATCTGACTACAGAAATTCAACTCATAACTACTACAGATCACCACCTACTTAACTATTTATTTGACTGATTGACTTCTCCTTTTTGTCTTCTAAGAAAATGACCAACATCCTCTTTGTGCTGCCATCTGTCAAGTAACTGCCAGGTAACTAGGTGAATCACTGTCCAGAGCTTCTTTAGTTCTGAGTTAGGGACCATTGCAGAGAGACAGTTATTCTTCAACAATAATAATTACATTTTTAGCAACTGAAATGTTTCACATTTGCAGCACTGTCTCTAGGGCTCCCAATTTTTCTCATTACTGGGATGGAACAGGATCTTCCCAGGAGACCCTGATTAGTTTGGAACATGAATGGTTTTCTCTTGGCTGTCGCAACATATTACCCACAATAATCCTGAGTTGTGTTTCCCCTGAGACTGGGAAAATATGGTTCTTTCCTTCCTACTGATGGTACAGTGTCCATTTCCAACATGTGCTCAGATCA